CCACTAGGGTGTTGCTGTTCTGCACCCGTCGTCAGTGCGCGTTTAGCCTGCTGTCCGCCCCTACTACGCGTACTGCGGCGGGCACCAGGGACCTTTGCAGCATCTTCTACGCCGGCCTCTACGTGCTCAGATTCAGCATCTAGCTCGACGAGTTCTTCGTCGTCATCGTCTCCGACTTTTACGGGGTCGTCCGGCCTGCCCGTAGGCATTGGGTTTGGTGGAAGGTGAGGGTGCTATGGATTTGTAAGAAGACGAATCAAACAGAAATCACGCTGTGTTGGAGGGTTCGCAGCTGGTAATATTGCTAATAAGCGCGAGCATAAGTTCTAGGCAGACGTGGTGGTCCTAAGGGTCTGGTGAAGCACTGAACAGTTAAGCTAGATAGCTCGGACAATCAGACTGGGGTTATGAGCAAGGACCCCTAATGTGAACCGTGGGATGGATGGGTCAGCTCTGAACACGCAGAAGATTGGCAAACTCTTTTGGGATTTGCACGCTGAACACAGGAAGCTCAAATTGGCTGGAGTTCGCGACACGAAAATCTGTGAATGATAGACGTGAGCTGTAAGCTAATTCGACGTGGCTTGATAATGTTGAGGCCAACATGTGCTGTGTTGGCGTAACCTCGTTCGTACATGCTAGCAGTGTGTTTTTTAGGCAATCAAAAATAGGATAATGTATTTATGTGGACATTCACGCAGTATACACGGCGGCGAGCGTATTGGTATGGGTTCACGCAGGCGGATTTCAATGCTGCCATTTGGCATGCACCCTATTTGTCGATAAGAATCAGGGTTGGATATGCTGCGTTGTAAGCTCCTCGTTTGTCAATGCGCGCGTTTAGTTAATGAGCCCGTGTATCATGCTAAAAAAAGAAAAACGTATTCAACGTCGTGCACGAATCGGCGGGCGCCACATCAATGGTGACTTTAAGTATCAAACAGTGGAAGATGGTAAATTGGAACCGGTACTTACAAGCTAAAGATGTTAATATTCTATGCTGGTACGTACATGTTGTGGAAATCCAATGCGGTGTCGGTGATAGGTGCCGCATCTTGGATGTGGAGTGCGTCGGCCACGTTCAACGATGTGCCGAATCCATGCCTATTCGAAATCAACTTCGTGGGCCAATTTCCACTCTTCACCGATGGTTCCTTCTTTGGTAAGCACGGCGCGTTTATGCCCGGGAGCTGCTTGGTGCTCCGGGCCATAACGGCTATGAGATCCTGTGCCAGGGGTAACGTCTTAACGCATGGAGGTAGAGGAGCGAACGAGTATGGTTCATCTGTGACTCTAGAATGGTTCGACCTAGTGGACGGGCCACTAGGGTGTTGCTGTTCTGCACCCGTCGTCAGTGCGCGTTTAGCCTGCTGTCCGCCCCTACTACGCGTACTGCGGCGGGCACCAGGGACCTTTGCAGCATCTTCTACGCCGGCCTCTACGTGCTCAGATTCAGCATCTAGCTCGACGAGTTCTTCGTCGTCATCGTCTCCGACTTTTACGGGGTCGTCCGGCCTGCCCGTAGGCATTGGGTTTGGTGGAAGGTGAGGGTGCTATGGATTTGTAAGAAGACGAATCAAACAGAAATCACGCTGTGTTGGAGGGTTCGCAGCTGGTAATATTGCTAATAAGCGCGAGCATAAGTTCTAGGCAGACGTGGTGGTCCTAAGGGTCTGGTGAAGCACTGAACAGTTAAGCTAGATAGCTCGGACAATCAGACTGGGGTTATGAGCAAGGACCCCTAATGTGAACCGTGGGATGGATGGGTCAGCTCTGAACACGCAGAAGATTGGCAAACTCTTTTGGGATTTGCACGCTGAACACAGGAAGCTCAAATTGGCTGGAGTTCGCGACACGAAAATCTGTGAATGATAGACGTGAGCTGTAAGCTAATTCGACGTGGCTTGATAATGTTGAGGCCAACATGTGCTGTGTTGGCGTAACCTCGTTCGTACATGCTAGCAGTGTGTTTTTTAGGCAATCAAAAATAGGATAATGTATTTATGTGGACATTCACGCAGTATACACGGCGGCGAGCGTATTGGTATGGGTTCACGCAGGCGGATTTCAATGCTGCCATTTGGCATGCACCCTATTTGTCGATAAGAATCAGGGTTGGATATGCTGCGTTGTAAGCTCCTCGTTTGTCAATGCGCGCGTTTAGTTAATGAGCCCGTGTATCATGCTAAAAAAAGAAAAACGTATTCAACGTCGTGCACGAATCGGCGGGCGCCACATCAATGGTGACTTTAAGTATCAAACAGTGGAAGATGGTAAATTGGAACCGGTACTTACAAGCTAAAGATGTTAATATTCTATGCTGGTACGTACATGTTGTGGAAATCCAATGCGGTGTCGGTGATAGGTGCCGCATCCTGGATGTGGAGTGCGTCGGCCACGTTCAACGATGTGCCGAATCCATGCCAATTCGAAATCAACTTCGTGGGCCAATTTCCACTCTTCACCGATGGTTCCTTCTTTGGTGAGCACGACGCGTTTATGCCCGGGAGCTGCTTGGTGCTCCGGGCCATAACGGCTATGAGATCCTGTGCCGGGGGTAACGTCTTAACGCATGGAGGTAGAGGAGCGAACGAGTATGGTTCATCTGTGACTCTAGAATGGTTCGACCTAGTGGACGGGCCACTAGGGTGTTGCTGTTCTGCACCCGTCGTCAGTGCGCGTTTAGCCTGCTGTCCGCCCCTACTACGCGTACTGCGGCGGGCACCAGGAACCTTTGCAGCATCTTCTACGCCGGCCTCTACGTGCTCAGATTCAGCATCTAGCTCGACGAGTTCTTCGTCGTCATCGTCTCCGACTTTTACGGGGTCGTCCGGCCTGCCCGTAGGCATTGGGTTTGGTGGAAGGTGAGGGTGCTATGGATTTGTAAGAAGACGAATCAGACAGAAATCACGATGTGTTGGAGGGTTCGCAGCTAGTAATATTGCTAATAAGCGCGAGCATAAGTTCTAGGCAGAAGTGGTGGTCCTAAGGGTCTGGTGAAGCGCTGAACAGTTAAGCTAGATAGCTCAGACAATCAGACTGGGGTTATGAGCAAGGACCCCTAATGTGAACCGTGGGATGGATGGGTCAGCTCTGAACACGCAAAAGATTGGCAAACTCTTTTGGGATTTGCACGCTGAACACAGGAAGCTCAGATTGGCTGGAGTTCGCGACACGAAAATCTGTGAATGATAGACGTGAGCTGTAAGCTAATTCGACGTGGCTTGATAATGTTGAGGCCAACATGTGCTGTGTTGGCGTAACCTCGTTCGTACATGCTAGCAGTGTGTTTTTTAGGCGATCAAAAATAGGATAATGTATTTATGTGGACATTCACGCAGTATACACAGCGGCGAGCCTATTGGTATGGGTTCACGCAGGCGGATTTCAATGCTGCTATTTGGCATGCACCCCATTTGTCGATAAGAATCAGGGTTGGATATGCTGCGTTGTAAGCTCCTCGTTGGTCAATGCGCGCGTTTAGTTAATGAGCCTGTGTATCATGCTAAAAAAAGTAAAACGTATTCAACGTCGTGCACGAATCGGCGGGCGCCACATCATTGGTTGATGTTCGAGGATTTGTTGTTCATGAGATACGGGAAAGGGGAATGTGTTCCTGCGTACATTCACCAATTGTAGACACGTCTTTAGCTTGGACTTTGTTCGCGATGCGCTAGAGAGTGAGTGCACATTGGCTAAGCCTTGCGTGGGTTGTCATCCCTTTTAGCGCTCGGTTGGCAAATACGTTCACGATTGTTGATAATAATGCGGGGAAAATTTGCTGTAATGGAGTCACCCTGTTGGTCGTTGCTCGCGCGGCGTTATGTTAGCGATCGCAAGGGAAGCCAGTGTTCGTTCACGCGCCTGAAATGGTAGTTGGCTATTGGTGCATGTTTGCTAAGGTCGAAGTGCTATAGTAAACATTCTATCAACGTGTAAACCAACCGTGTAACTGCCTGCCATTTGGCGCAAAAATGTCAGATCCACTGACAAGTCCACATTCTCATGATTGATACGAACCTACACCGTATTGGTGGTTGTTCGCGCTGCGATGCTCAAAATGCGTCAGTACAGAGTGGCGGGAGGTTTACAAGTGACAACAATTGTGCATTTACCTGACTGCCACTTGGCGCTCAATTGTTGTCGGTGACAAAATGCTCATGGCTAGGAAGAAAAGGGGATCGAGCCAAACCCTTCCACGTAGGTTTGGACTCCCTCGGAATTTGTGGTCTGGTTCCAAGAACATTGGAGGCGACCATGTGAAATCCTGGCAACTTTTTCGAGGTGACCGTACACTGATAGCTACACTTCGTTTTTCAATACGAATCGACGGGAGCGCGGGAAGCGCGGGACAAAAGGTGGATTCGCGTTGCTATGGGGTATACAAAAACTTGACCGTGACAAAAACAATTCCCTGAGCACAACCCCGTGCCGCGGTAATTCTCTCTCGCCTAGCTCGACTCTGCCTACATTATCTCGTTTTGAACATTCATTGGGCATTCATTGTGGAACACCCGCACTCGAATTAGGACCAATTGTGTCAGGCCACCATTTGGCTTGGCTCGAGTCACGGGAGGACCCGCACTTAGGAAGCGAGAACAGGGAGAGCAATAGTGGTGCGTCACGTGGTGGTCCAATCCGATAGCTATCGCGTCGAAGCGACAGACAGGCCACGAGAGAGCGACGGACGGCGACGAAACAACGAAAGCCAACGGAGAAAAAGTAGACCGTAGGCGACGAGCAATGGACAGTGCACGACGAGAGTGATAGTAGGCGACGAGCGAGTGACATTAGGCGACGAGCGAGTGACATTAGGCGACGAGCGAGTGACATTAGGCGACGATCGAGTGACATTAGGCGACGAGCGAGTGACATTAGGCGACGGGCGAGTGACATTAGGCGACGAGCGAGTGACATTAGGCGACGAGCGAGTGACATTAGGCGACGAGCGAGTGACATTAGGCAACGAGCGAGTGACATTAGGCGACGAGCGAGTGATATTACGCAACGAGCGATACATTCCAATTCATGATGGCGGAGAAGAGGCGCGAAGAGCAGCGGCAATGGCGCATGGGGCAAGCACCGCTCATAGGCAGGACAGTCGGCTGCGGCAGTGACGGAAACAGCACGTCCATGCGAACAGCATAGGCTGAAGCGGCGGCGGTGGCGGCGGCGGCGCAAAGAGGCGGTGGAAGTCCGCGCCAGTTGCGCTCCGCCTGGATCATTTCCTCTCCCGCGCCGGCATCACCACCGCTACGCGCGAGCCCATTCCGCCGCCTCCTCAAGAGCCCGCGCAATTTGGTGTGTGCGCCAGTGTGCGAGGGTGCGCAGACGAAGGAGAGGCGGAGCGGGGAGGGGAGGCGCGGGGAGGGGAGGGGGAAGGGGGGATATGGCCACGTATGGTTTGAGTTTGGCGGAAACGTGGGGAGGGATGGGAGAAGGTGGAGCAAGGGGCGGAGCAGGATGGCAGAGGAGCGGAGAAGGGGCAGGCGGAGGGGTGGGGAAGGGTGGGAGAGAGGTAAGTGGGGAGATTGCGCGCCAAGGGCTCCAAGAGGGGCCAGGTGGGCGGGGGCGGATAGAGGGGCGCGAGCGGGGAACGGAGGAGAACGCGGAGGGGTACTGTGGGGAGGGCGCAGGGAAGCACTGGTGCAGGTGACCCCAGCAACTTGGGAGAGCATTGGTGTGAGGCGGGGGAAGGAGAGGCAGACACTGACGCAGAAGCATTGAAACGCATGGTGCTGCAGGCGAGACAGGCTCGGGGGAGGGGGAGGCGGGGGAGGGTGAGGGGGAGACGGGGATGGGGTTGCGGGGGAGTGGGGTGATTAGCCGGAGGAGGGAGTGGGGGAGGGGTTGGGGGACGTGGACGGGGAGGGGGAGGGGGAGTGGATGCTGATGGTAGTGCACGGTGCGCCTTGCCATGGCAACCCCTTATACACGGCCCTGCCTCGAACCACCCAGGTACCACCACCAGGTGGCCGCACAAACACAACCCCCCTGTTCCTCCCACCCGCCTCCTCCCAACCTTCCATCCTTCCTTCCTACCCTTTGGCCAAGTCCAAGTGGTCACACCGGAGCTCAACATCCTGGTGAGCGCTGGCGGGCACCGCTGCGACTCCATACCCCCCTGTCTCCCCTCCATCCCCCTCCATCCCCCATCCCCCCTGCTGGCATTGCTGCTGTGTCCATACTCCATACCCCCTTGTCTCCCCTCCATCCCCCCCATCCCCCATCCCCCTTGCTGGCAGGGCTGCTGGGTCCATACTCCATGCCCCCTTCCCCAACGCCACCTCCCTACTCCACCCTCCCACCTTTTTCTTTTGTCTGTCTGTGTCTCTTCCCCCCTCCACCCCCTCCACCCGCCACACCCCCCCCCCCCCCCCCCCCCCCCCAGGTACGCCCACCAGGTGGTCACACCGGAGCTCAATGCGCTCGTGGCTGTACTGCTGGCAGAGCATTTCAGAAAGACTTTCTCAAGGTGGGACTGGGGGGTGGTGGATGGCATGGGAGGGGGAAATATCTACCGGGGATAGGGCCATGTTGCGATTCCAAGTCAGGGCGTTCAAGAAAGGCAAGGATACTGGGGGGAATTAGCAAAAGATGGGGAATTGGCATGGGGGGAAAGGGGCATGTTGTGGTTTCAAGTCAGGGCCCCTTAAGGTGAGCCCTGGCCTTGCCACCCACTTCCCCCACCCCGTTTGAAGTCACGTCACGGCAGCGTGCCACCCTTCTCTTACCTCATGACCTGGGTGAAGATAGCCAAGAGTTTTGCAATTTCGGAGGCTAGCTTTCTTGCTTTAGAAGGCTTGCCTAGCTCATTTCTTGTTCATTTGGCACTGATGAAAGCTTGCTAGGGGCTTCCTAACCAGACGAAACATGTTTGTCCGTGTTTTAACCACTGTTTAGTGAAGAGCTCCAGTTTCACCAAATCCTACGCGAATTAGCTAGTTTTTTCTACTACAAGTGTCTCTCCTTTGCTAAACTTTCTCATACGCTGCTGCTCACTGGAATATGTCTCACGGTCTGCCAACCTTCTCGTATCTCATGCCGAGCCCTCACAACTTCACCAAACCCAGAATAGTTACGTTTTTTAGTTGACTCGAAGTCCCTCCCACTGTTGCCTCTTTCTGATCTGAGCCATGTCACTGCGCTGCTCCAACAAGCCCAGAATACTTACAAGTCCACTCCACCAAGCCCTCACTCACTCCACCAAGCCCTCACTCACTCCACCAAGCCCTCTTTCACTCCACCAAGCCCTCTCTCACTCCACTGAGACTCAAAATCCTTCCCCACTTCCACCTTATGATGTGTCCTGACGTTGCCATGCCCCTGGCAGTCACTTCGCCACCCCGGGTAGGGCAAAGACAAATGCCACGTAACCCCTCCCCTCTCCCCATACCACGTCCTCTCCTCCCTCCCATACTCCTCCCTTCTCCGCGTCCCTCCTCCCTCTCCATTTCCCCTTTCCGCGCCCACGTTCGCCCTTCTCCGTCCACATCCCCACTCCCCATCTCACATGGGTGCAGGGTTTTCGACAGGGAAGGAGGTCCCTCCTTCCCCCTCCACAGCATCCCTCCGCCCTTCCCATCCCCTTTCTCAGACCTTCCCACTCAGTCGCCCCACTCACTGCCTTGCAATGCAGCGGGGAGGGGTGCAGCTACTTTTGAGACGTCCCACAACACCCCTCCCCTTTACTCCCCACTCCTTTAATCAACACACACAAAAAGCGATGCAGCGGCAGGTGTTATCAGGGCTGAATGAGGTGGGGCAGTCTGTGCGGGTTTGAAGGCATTTTCCCTTCCCTCCCCCTTTCCTCCTCCAACATTCCCCTCAATCCGCCAACAACGCATGGGAGCAGGGAGCAATGAGGCGGCGGGCTGAAGGAGGTGGGGCAAGCGATGTAGGGCTGAAGAAGATTCTCCTCTCCCCCTCCCCATCCCCCTCCCACTTCAGCCCCCCATGCACAGGTATAAAGGATGTGGGGCTGGTTGTGTGGGGCTGAAGGAGATCATTCTGCTCCCCTCCCCTCGCTCACCCCCCTCCCACTTAAACCCCCCATGGCACTGGGTGCTATGCGGCGGCGCGTGCTGGCAGGGCTGACGGAGGTGGGGCAGGCGGTGCGCAGTGGGAGGGCCAGGTTTGTGATGCTGGCGCCTAACGAGGAGGAGGTGCCTGGGAGGGGTGAGGAGAGGGGAACGGTGATTGTAAAGGGTGTAATCATGGTGAATAACTAGTGTGTTGGTGTGTGATACTGGGAGGGCCAAGTGTGTGGTGCTGGCGCCCCTGGGACAGGTGAGGGGAGGGTTGGGAAAGGGAGAATATGTGTTGTGAGGGAGAGCAGTGCCCAAGTGCGTGGGGATTGAAGGGCCAAGTGTGTGGTGCTGGCGCCTAACGTGGAGGAGGTGCCTGGGGCAAGTGAGTGTTTGGGTGGGGAAGGGGAGGGGGGGGATGAGGCGGGAGAGGAGGGTGTAGGGTGAAGATGCGTGATTGTTTTCCGAATTTTCGTCATCACATGGGCATCTAGTTTTGAGTCGACTTAAAATTCATAGGATCACTTGGGCATGCCGTTCTTTTTGTTTGGATATACAGAACCATTCCGTTCCGTTCATATCATTCCTACCCAGCCATCCCATCCCTTCCTTCCCCTCATCCGCCCTGTCCCCTAGGCGGTCGTGAGGTTGCCCTCACATCTATCCTATAAGATGCCATCTCATTTGCATTTTAGTCACTTCTTATGCAGCCATGATGACACGTGCTTGTCACTTCTTGAGTCAACTTAACAACCGTTTTTTGAGTTGGATCAGAAAACATTCTATCAGATGCCTTTACAACCAGCACTTATTTTTCTTTTGCAGCCATGGTGACGCATTCCCGTCACTCCCTCTCCACCCTCCCCTTAACCCCCATTTAACCTCTCCCCCATGCCACCCTTCACCAGGCGGCCTTTATGCTGCCCTCACATCCATCATATCAGGATCCCCATACAACCACCCTCATCACAACCACCCACCTCATCCCACCTCTGTTCCGTTACGTCCACCAGGCGGTGCTGCCCCTCCCAATCGGATGCAGCCACACGCAACTTTGAAGGTTCCAAACCTTTTCCACCCACCCCATCCCACCCTCCACAGGCGGTCTTGACGCGGCTCTCTGATCCATCCTATCAAACGCTGCCACATGCAGCATTCCCGTGGTTGTGGCTCTTTCCAGACACCGCCTCGCCAAGGTGAGTGCAGGTGTTGAATGTCGTGGGGTGTGGTGCTTTCGGGTTACATTCGACAAGGTGGGCGATGGGGGGAGTGGATGCATATGTGAATTCCCGAAAATGCACACAGAATTCCCGGTGCCCCCTTTGCAAAGGTGACTGCGGGCTGAGGTGGAGAACTGATGCTATCAAGTAGCACACGGTAAGGTGGGCTGTTGGTTCTATCCCAAGCTACCACAGTTGAGGTAGTTCCTCTTCACTTTCACCTGTGGTAACGTCACGTGCTGACCTCGCGCCCTCCTGTCTGTTGGGCTCCATTGGCTGCACTACCGCATTGCCCTCACTCTGCTCCACACCTCTTCTGCTTGCCTTGCATCAGATGCTCTCGTCCTGCACTGCATTCTAGGCCTTGAATTGCCCACGCTGTCGAGTGAGTGCCGTGGCGTTCCTGCATGGAAATGAGGCACACAGGCGGCATTGCAGTGCCATCACCCAACCCTCATCCTTCATCCTTGCAACACACCCCCCATCCTCACCCTCCCCTGTTAGTCCTCGGACCGCCCGCGCTGCCAGGTAAGTGCCGTGGCCATTCTGGACAGCAATGGCACCACCACCATTCATTTACAGTGCCCCTGCGGTTCCGTCACCTTTTTATTTCTGCATCCTCCCGTTTCCTACCCCCCTTCTAGGCCTCGCCCGTGTTGCCGCGTGAATGTCATGGCCATTTTGGATGACGATGGGGTGAACAGCCTGCATTGCGTTGTCGAGTGAACAAAGCGTGCTGCGGGAGGCGGAGAGGGGGAGGGAGCTTTGGCGGGAGGGGCAGGTGTGGCAGGAGGGGCAGGTGGGGCAGGATAACCCACTCCCAAAAGAACAGACAAGGCCTTAACGCTGATGTTGGGATGCAAGTATCAATTTTACCAGATGGTACTGCTGTGCAGAAAACTCACTCCCAATGGTGCCACGCTCCCACCACCACCTCACTCCCACCACCACCTTTGCATGCAAGGATAAAGAGTATGTAGGGGCAGCAACAGGTCCAGTCAACCAGGATAGAATCAAGGAGTAACAACCACCTTCTTGCTCCCATCGCTCTCTCACTCCCATCGCTTGCTCAATCCTATCACTCTCTCACTCCCACCACCATCTCTGTCATGCAGAAAATGAAGCCTGCTGAGGCAGCAAGAGGTAACCAAAGATTCAATATGGGCAATATGGTTGTGTCATGTGCCCCTTCGATAATAACATGAGAACTGCATATCTATAAATGGCATACTTCTACTACATTAGATAGGTTTGTATGCGTTGTAATGCGTGAATGATTACTTGCGATGGCTGAAGTCGACAAGTGAGCTTGTAGCATTTGTGGAAAAACCAATTGAAGTTAGTTTGACCTGTAGATTTATTTTGTTGAGTTTGTGTAAAGGATCTGCACTGTATTGTATACTTAAATTAGCTTGTTTGTTCTGAAGAGTTCGCATCAGCTGGATCGGCCTATGACTACATCCCAAACCACTCTCAAGAAGTACGCAGAATGAAATGATGAAATTAGAATGTGAAGAGGTACAAGTATGCAACCATAACAACTGTACCCCCTAGTAGGTGCCTCACTACAGCCTATAATATTATTACATTTTGACACACCCCCATAGGCTAAGTGAGGGACATCAAAGAGGCAAACAAGCGACAGAAAATGGTCACAAGACCAGTCAAGTGCAAGCAACAAAGCAGAGCTCAGGGTGGCGCTCAGAGTCACCACATACTCCGAGCACAAGCAGGTGACAACAAGGCCAGTTCAAGAGTTTGTTTAGAAGCAAAACAAGGAAAGCAAACAGCAAGCTACAGCAACCGAGGGCCAACCTCAACAAGCCCTAGCTGCACACAGAACCTACGGTGGTCACCAGGCACCAAGGCCTTGGTGAAGACGTCAGTAGTGTTGGCCTCTGAAGCCACAAAGTCCAAGCGTGCCTGGCCGCGTCGCTGCAACTCTCGTAGAAGAAAGTACCTCACGTCAAATGCTTCACTCTGCTCTCCAGTCAATCATGGCCTTGTTTGTCAGAATCAACTGTGCAGGAATGAAGGAACTATGAATGGTAATAGCAAGGCAGTACACAAATCACAACCTAGCAAGAGTAAACAAGTAGGTATAAATATATATATCAGTATACAAGAGCAAGTCAAGCAACCAGCAGGTGAGGCAACGTGGGCACAAGCCCAAAAGCAGTGCAGAAACGCTGATGATCACTAGACCCAAGGGCCTTGGTGAACGCATCAGCAATGTTGGCCCGCGAGGCCACGTAGAAAAGGCGGAGCTGACGACGCTGCTGCAGCTCACGTGAAAGGAAGTAGCGAAGAGCAATGTGCTTCGTTCTGTGCTCCAGTATCTGCTCGCGACACAAGGCAAGCATCCTTGTTGTAGACGTACAGAACTAGAGGAAAATGAGGCCGCTCCCCCAAGTCGGTCAGCAGGTAGGTCAGCCAGCGTAGCTCCTGTGCAGCCATGGCCCCAGCGTAGATCTCGGCCTCACAGATGGAACCAAGCAAAGAAGAAGAACGAGTGGACCTCCAAGAGACAGAACCAGAGCCAAGACTGAAGGTGTAACCCTGTGATGAATGATGTGTCGCCTGGTCATCAGCCCAAGAAGCGTCGGAGTGTCCTGTGAGTACTACTGAACCCCGTCCCCCATGTACGAGCCCCATGCCCGAGGTACTGCAGAAGTAACGCAGCATCCTCTTCGCAGCATCCCAGTGCACCTTTCAGTGTCTACCGGGAGCCACATAGCGAGCCAGGAGGCCGAGAGGGTACGCGAGGTCAGGTCGTGTGCACGTCATCAGGTACATGAGGCATCCCAAAAGCTCTGGGTATGGACCACTCGGCTCTACGGACTCGTCCAAAGATGGAGCTGAGAGCGAGTGGTCTGTAGACAGATGAGTGGGCTATGGCGAGGAGAACTGGAAGTTGAAGCGCTGAAGGACCTGGTGCACCATGTGTGACTGAGTCAGGGTGATGGTGCGCCGTGCTCTGTCCCGGGTGATCTGCAAGCCAAGATAGCTCCGCAGCTCACCCAGGTCAGTGCAGGTGTGTCTCTCCTGCAGCTCCGACTTCACTAGGGCCAGCGCCTCCATGTCGGCAGTAGCAAAGACCAAGTCATCGACATACACGAGAACATAAAACGGCGGCAGGGAAGTGTTGGTGCGTAGAAACAGCGACGGGTCAACAGAGGAAGGAGCAAACCCAAGAGCCGCAAGTGTCATCCTCAGTATGTCGTGCCACTCGCGAGGCGCCTGGCGGAGACTGTAGACTGGCCGCCGGAGGCTCCACTGGGTACCCGCAGGAAATGACCCAGTGAAGCCACGTGGGCGGCGCAGCCAGATCTCCTTGTGAAGGCTGCCCTGCAAGAAAGCTGTGGAGAAGTCGAGGGAGTGCAGCTCGTAGTCACGCTGTGCTGCAACGTGCAGCAACACCCGAAGAGTAGTCATCTTCAGGGTGGGGGAGAAGTTCTGGAAGAAGTCGACCCCTTATCGCAGTCTGAAGCCTCGTGCAACGTCACGCGCCTTGCAGGCAGGTGGAGAACCCGGTGGCCGCTTCAGCGTGAAAATCCACATGCCATCGACTATGTTCGCCCCATGAAGAGGAACCTTGTCGACGTAGGTGCCCGTGGACTTCCAAGAAGCCATCTTTGCGTCCCTGCGTCCATGGTTGTCTTCAACTGAGTGGAGTACTCACCCGCGATCGCCTCAGCATAAGAGCGCGGGGTAGAGATGTCAAGTGCATCCGGGTCTCCCTCAGGGCAAAGCAGCATGGATGCATAACAAGGTAAAGCGGCCGCAAGACACTCAAGCTCAAACTGCCTGTCCTCAGGGACGTCACTGCTAAGGGCAGGCTCACTCTCGACGGACGGAGGACAGAGAGACTCAGACTCAGTAACAAGACTCGCGGCATAGTCAAGACGACTCCTAGCTGCAAAGTCGACTAGCTCAGTGACTAGGGCAAACGCAGAAGTAGACTCAAATTCAGGGTCAGTGACGATAGTAGCGAGAAGACGAGTGACAGTAGGACTGGCAGCACGAGCAAGGTCGGACTCAGGGTCAAGAACATGCAGAAGAGAGGATGCGGGAGGCTCAGGCATAACAACACGCTGTGGAACAGAGGAAGGACGAAGTGCCATACTGTGAGTGCCTGGGACAGTAGGAGGACGACGACGGGCGACACGACGAGCACGAACAGGTGTGGAAGCACGAGTCTCAGGCTCACGATGCGCAGTCATGGACTCAGTCACCTCAGTGTGAGGAGCAGGAGCATGCAGCGGGGAGCCAGGCAATAGCTGTGGCTGAGACTAGTCTGTCGGTGGACACAGGAGAGGTGGAGTGAGGCCAGTGGAACACGGGAGACTAACAACCTGGTGAAGGACCGAGTCAGGCGGCGACAGGGACGACTGCGGCTGCGGGTAGAAAAATGGTCGCTGCGGGGCAGTACCAGCAGCTCCAGCTCCTCCAGCACCAGCAGCACCAGCACCTCCAGCACCAGCAGCTCCAGTAGCACCTCCAGCACTAGCAGCACCACGAGCTACGGCAGCACCAGCACCTCTAGCACCAGCAAGACCTCCAGCACCTCCAGTGCCAGCAGCTCCAGCAGCACCTCCAGCACCTCCAGCACCAGCAGCATCACCTGCTCCGGCAGCTCCAGCACCTCCAGTACACGCACCTCCAGGACCAGCAGCTCCAGCACCTCCAGCAGCACCTCCAGCACCAGTAGCACCACCAACTCCGGCAGCTCCAGCACCTCCAGTATGAGCACCTCCAGGACCAGCAGCTCCAGTACCTCCAGTACCTCCAGCTCTAGCGCCTTCAGCACCGGCAGCACCTCCAGCACCTCCAGGACTAGCAGCTCTAGTACCTCCAACACCAGCAGCACCTCCAGCAGTACCTCCAGCAC